TTGCTACGAAATGTCTACTTTTACATTTCCAACCCTCACAATCAGTCCTGATAAAAATTATTCACTATTGTATCACAAGAGACCCATCTGCATTTCATTTCATCAGCCTCGCCTAGACAGATTGGATAATACTCAGTGGAGATTCTACCTTCCTCCACGCCCTCTGGATCTAGGTTCCCTCTTGAAAGCTTGTGAGCCAGTCACTTCTTGCCTTTGTAGCCCCCCCATTTTGGGTAGCCAATGTCCAAGTTGCCCATCCCTGTCTACTCTGTGTATGGAGAGGTGGGAATGATCCTTGTTGTAAAGATTTGTTCCCTCTTTTGAGCTACTGAAACATGTATATTTATTAAAAAGTCTTTTGTTTTTGTCATTTTGCAATCCAAACTGTTTGACCAACTGATTAGTAGAACCTAAGGTGTGTGCCGCTTAAACACAGCTAGGTTAATGTATATCATTGAGTATAATATTAAAGAAATACTGTCACATTGCTTTAAAAAAATATTTTGCTGTTGTTGTTGAGACTATATATGGCAAAACATACATCTGCTCAACAATTTCTATATGTACAATTCAATAGCATCAATTACATTCTTTGGGTTGTGCAATCTTTCTCACCCTCCTTTTCTGTGTCATTCCTCCCACATTAATATAAACTCTCTGCCCCTAAAGTTCCTATCTAATCTTTTGAGTTGTTGTCACTTTGATCCCATATGCCACTGCCATCGAGTCTATTCTGACCCATGTTGTTGTTGTTGTTAAGTGCCTTCGAGTCGGTTCCGACCCATAGCGACCCTGTACAGGGTTTCCGAGGGTGTAAATCCTTACGGGAGTAGAAAGCCTCATCTTTCTCCCGCGGAGCAGCTGGTAGTTTCGAACCGCTGACCTTAAGGTTCGCAGCCCGATTCGTAACCACTACGCTACCAGAGCTCACTCATAGTGACCCAATATAGGGTTTCTGAGACTGTAAATCTTTACGGGAGCAGACAGCTTAATTTTTTTCTTGAGGAGGCTGGTGGATTTGAGTTGTCCATCTCATAGCAGCTAGATGCTTATTTTATTCCACAGCCTTACCAGGGCTCCTTTTGATCCCATGTAGATAATTCTTAAAAGAGCTAAGTTGCCCAAGGCAGACGCTCTCTTTTTTTTTTTTTTTTACTAGTTAAGCTAAACTGTTGTTTGGTTTCAAGAGGACTTTAGGGAATATTTTTGGTTTGAGATTAAAAAATGATATCAGGACAATAGTTTCCGGTGTTCATTCAACCTCTGTGGCCTCAGAAAGTCTGGAGTCCATGGGAATTTGAAATTGTGTTCTGCATTCTCTCCCTTTTCATAAGGATTCCTCAGTGGAGTCTTTGTGCAGAATGTTCAGTAACAATGGCCAGGCACCATCCAATTCTGGTCTCATAGCAAAGGATGCAATTGTTCTTGGCAACAATTAACCATACATTCCAAGCCCTGGTGCGGCGCTCTAGGATAAGCACTGGACCGCAAGGTCAGTTTGAACTGCAGGTGACTCACCGGCTGCTCCTTGGAAACCCTATACACAGTCGCTATGAGTCAGAACCAACTCAACGGCATTTGACAACAACAACAACAACATTCCTGACCCTGCTTCATCCTCTTGCTCCAGACAAATAGAGACCAATTGTTGTGCCTTGGATGGGTGTTTGTAAGCTTTTATGACTTTGGAAAGTAGGAGGTAGAACAGAAAGACAAACATGATATTAGCTCAACAACTGGGTTGTTCCATGAAACCATGACCCTAACCCTCCAAATATTGGAACCAAATATCATAAGGTGCTATATTTTCTCCATTGTTGTAAATATGTATCACACAGCTTCTGCCAATTTAACTTTTTACAGGTCCACACTAGTTTTCAAAGATTTTTAAAGGTTTTTTTTAACCTTATTTGAATCAAAGCTAGTTATATTTCAGTCTGCTTCCGTTGAGTTAGAATACCTGAATAACAAGACAACATCTCTTGGTTACTAGAAACAATTAAAAAATTGTTCGTGGCATTGGTTACATTTTTCACAATATGTCAATGTTCTTATTATTTCTTTTCTGGAGTCCTGGCATGATGCCGTAGGATAAGCACTCGAACTCAAGGTCAGTTTAAACTGCAAGTTCAGCGGTTCAAAGTCACCAGCCTTCCCTTGGAAATCCTATACAGGATTGCTATGAGTCAGAACCAATTTGATAGCACTTAACAACAACAACACAGTTAGAATACCTAAATAACAAGGCAGCCTCTCTTGGTTAATAGACACAATTAAGAAATTGTTCTGTGGTAATTGTTACATTTTCCACAATATGTCAACATTCTTACTATTTCTATTCTGGTTCTTTTCCATGAATGTAGTTTCCCTGTCCCTTCCACCCTTACCTTCTCATCTTTGCTTTAGGGTAACTGTTGACCCTTTGATCTCACATAGATAACTTTATTTTTAAAGAAACACAGTATTCGCAGGTGATAGTGTTCATTTCATGAGCCAATATGTTATTTAGATGGAAGGTGTCCTCCGGCAGTGGTTTCAGTTCAAAGGTTAAAGGGTATTTCAGGGTGGTAGTCTTAGGGTGCCCTCTAGTCTCAACTGCAAAGACCAGTAAGTTTGGCTTTTTAAAAAGAATTTCAGTTTGTTCTACATTTTCCTCAGTTTCTACCTGGACCATCTATTGTTGATAGTAGTAGCTAGACACCATCTGTCTCTGCTGATCTCAGATGAGGCTGTGGTTTGTGTAGACTAGCTGCTTCTTTGAGTCTTTGGTTTCCTTCTTTTTCACCCCAGTTATCTAAGATGGTCACTTATATATAAGCTTTTAAAACCTCTAACACTACTCATCAAACTAAGATATAGAATGTAAACTTTATGAACTATGTTATGCCAATTGACTGAGTTGTCCCGTGAGATTGTGGTCCAAAGCCTTTAAGCCCAGTAAACAATCTTGTGAGGTGTTTGTTTATGCTTAGGAAGTATCCAGCACTATGCCCCTATGTGATTTATTATACTTATGAATATGTATGTAGCATACACGTACATACCTACACACACACCTATACATGTACCTTCCTGTACACATTTATGCATATATATTTAGCTATGTAGCCACACGTATTTTTTGGTTGTTATTACTGTTCTTGTAAAATTATTATCGCATTTACCAAAAATGTTCCTTATTTTTGTGTATTTCTCAGCGTCATCATTTACCTTGGTCAGGTTGTACACACTTCACTCACATTTGGTATTGCCTTTCCTGTAACAAAAATAACAAGTGTCTACTGTCTAGAAGAGCCCTGGTGAACCAGTGGTTTAAGCGCTCAGCTGCTAACTGAAAGAGCTGGGATTTGAATCTGGAGTAGAAGGATGTGGCCAACTACTTCCATAAAGATTTGTTATTGTTGTTAAGTGCCGGTGAGTCAGTTCCAACTCAGCAACCCTGTGTTGTGTTTCCTAGGAGCAGCTGGTGAGCTTGAACTGTCAACTTTTGGATTAGTGGTGGTTGTTATGCGCCGTGGAGTCGGTTCCGACTCATAGCCACCCTGTACAGCGTTTCCGAGGCTGTAAATCTTTACAGAAGCAAAACGCCTCATCTTTCTCCCACGGAACTGCTGGTAGTTTCAAACTGCTGACCTTGAGGCTCACAGCCCGATTCATAACCACTACACTACCAGAGCTCCTTTTTGGATTAGTAGTGCGGTGTATATCCTACAGCGGCACCCCAGGACTCTATAAAGATTGTTCTTGTTAAGCGTCATTGAGTCAGTTTCCAGGGTTCCCAAGGAGTGGCTGATGAGTTTGAACCGCCGACCTTTAAGTTCAAGCCAACCTTGTGGTCCAGCGCATTCTCTTTTTGCACTACAAAGATTACAACAGCCTTGAGAATCCTAGGAGGCAGTTCTCCTCTGTCCTATAGGGTCCCTAGGAGTCAGAATCAACTCTGGGGCAACAGATTACTAACTAAAGAGTGATTTCCTCTTCTGACCCCCCCCAGCCCCCCCCTTCCTTGGTAATCATCAATGAATGCTGATTTCTGTATGTATACTTCTTGTTTCAGTTTTTATACAAGTGGATCATATACTATTTATCTTTTGTGGTTGACTTACTTCACTCAGCATATTATCCTCTAGACTCAGTCGTGTTATGTTTTGAGAACATATCACATCATTATTCTTTATGTTGTTGCTGTTGTTCTGTGTCGTGGCATCAGTTCTGACTCATAGTGATCCTGCACAGGGTTTCCGAGGCTGTAAATCTTTATGGGAACAGAAAGCCTCGTCTTTCTCCCGCGGGACAGCTGGTAGTTTCGAACTGCTGACCCTGAGGTTAGCAGCCCAATTCATAACCACTACGCTACCAGAGCTCCTTATTATTCTTTATAGCTGAGTGGTATTCCATTGTATGTACGTACCACATCTTATTTTTCCAGTTATCCGCTTATGGGTGCTTAAGTTGCTTCCGTCATTTTTGCTATTGTGACTAGTGCCCCAATAAATGTGTGGCACACTAGATTCTTTCGTTCACTGCTAAATTCCAAGAGTCTGGACAGAGTTAAAGGAGCTGGTGGTGCTGTAGCAATGGACTGCTTGCTAATTGCAAGGTTCAAACCCATCAGCCACTTTGTGGGAGGCTTTCTGCTTCCGTAAAGATTTATAGCATTGGAAATTCTATACAGGGTCGCTAAGAGTCAGATTGACACAGTGGAGGTGGGGAAGGGAGGGAGAGTTTCGGGATAGGGAGCAGGGACCAAGTTAAGATGTGGTACATTGAAGATACCCAATACTCATTTCTTAAATGAAAATTCTTTTTGGAAATAAATCTTCCACAGAGATTTTGAAAAACATGAAAAAGTAATTTGGGGAGATGGTTGTAAATTTGTCAATTAAAAAAATCTGAGCCCCAATCAAATATAAACATCTGAAAGGTTTAAGTTCTTTACATTCTTTCTAATAGTTATTGGGTTACTTTTTTTTACAGCCACTTGGTTTTGTTTTGCCTAAGGGAGAAGTTATAGGAGGCTTCTCTTTAACATAATTATTCACTGTATCCTGAGACAAAGAAGGATGCTCTTGAAACATGAGTGAATATGCGCATATATTTATTTGCTAGTAGATCTTAGGAGTTTATTTTTCAAAAAATTCCATAAACTTTTTGAAGCCCTTTTGTGTGTGTGTGCACGTGCTTGCACGTATAACACAGTGATTTTTCTGGTTGACATGAAATTCAAGCTTAAATCTTTGACAACAGCTTTTTGGCAGTTGTAAAATAGGAAAGAAGTAAGATTTCAGGAATTAAAAATTGGTGCTTATGCATGTTTACTCGTTGGTCCTCCCTTATCTTGGCAGACAAAGGCTGGTGGTGGGAGAATATGATGGCAGGCCTTTTACAGAGACACTCTCCGATCAGCTGGCTTATCCGCTCTGTGAGTATATTTTATGTGGAACTCCCCACAAAAAAATTGGACATTTTATTGTGCAATGTAAATTGTATCTGAATATATTTTAAATCATTATGGTCTTTCTATTTCATTTCACCCCAATTTCATTTTCCAAGCCTAGTGTTCATGCTGTAGTTTCCTGTATCATTTCAATGTAAGACATTTCTGAAAAGAGTAAGCATCTCAGAGATGCCTTGATGTTTTAAACTGCATATCATTTTTTTCTGTAATACAACTTTCAGCAGGAGCTGGTTGAGATTAAAAGGTAACAAGCTCTTCCATAGATAAACACATTCTGCTTTTAGAATCTCCATCTGCAAATATCCCAATTAGCAAAACAAATGTATTAGAAGGTAGATCTGCGCACAACAAAGGAAACATCACTCTGCATGAGCCTACTAAATGAACTGGTTCCAAATGACATATAAACTATAATTTAACACGTTGTTGTTGTTAAATGCCCTGGTTGCAACACAGTGACCCTGTATAGGGTTCCCATGGAACGGCTGGTGAATATAAAGCACCGACCTTGCAGTTCACAACAAGCTTGGGTCCAGTGCTTAGCTAGAGCATACTGCTGTTGTTAAGTGCCGTCCAACTCGTAGCAATCCTGTATAGGGTTTCCAAGGAGGAGCTGCTGTATTTGAACTGCCGACTTTGTGGTTCACAGTCAAGTGCTGATCCTACAGTGCCACACCAAAAGTCCCCTACAGTGTATGTTGTTGTTGTTGAGTGCCGTGGAGTTGGTTCCAACTCATAGTGACCCCGCACAGGGTTTCTGAGGCTGTAAATCTTTACAGGAGCAGAAAACCTCATCTTTCTCCTGCGGAACAGCTGGTAGTTTCATACTGCCGACCTTGAGGTTAGCAGCCCGATTCATAACCACCACACTGCCAGAGCTCCTCTACAGCTAATGTTGTTGTTGTTGTTGTTAAGTGCCGTCGTGTCGGTTCCGATTCTTCCATATATATGACTGTGTGTATCAGTAGCTCATTCCTTTTTATAATTTAGGACTGTTCAGGTTATGAATGTGTCATAATGTATTTATCTATTTTACTTTTGGTGGGCATTTGGATTGTTTTCTGTTTGGGGCTATATGAATAAGATTTGTCAAAGAGAAAACTGGAACTTCTCCTAAAATTGAAATAAGTCATTTATTGAGAAATGAATGATCCAGGATCAGGCAGTACCTTATAAAGAGTCACCAATGTACTGCAGCAAAAGGAAATTTTCACAGAGCGTAAATACAGAGGATCCAGCATCTTATAAGAAGAAAATTCTGATTGGCTGACACAAAATCGACAGCACACCATCTTTGCAGACACTGATTTTGGAATTGCTCCTTTGTTTGACCCTGCCCACATTCCCACCCCCGATAATGTACCTGGGCTGTATTCAGGAAAGGTGAGTATAAAATGTCAACCTTGCAAAAAATGGTAGAAGAGTGACTATGAAGGTGAAGGTGAAAAGGGTAGGGTATCTACAGCAGGATGGTCTCCAGCAGATCAGTTGTAGGAAGGAGCACATAAGGAAGAGAAGAGTACCCTTATTGTGACATATTCATAACCTGAACGTCACATAAATGGAAGAATCTGAAACACACACTGAGCAAGAGAAAAAGTATCCTCAGAGTGGGAATGATCAGGAGGGGTTTTCCAGAGAAAAGGAAACATTCTACATCTTGTTTTGTTAGTAGTTACATGAATCAACAAGTGTATACAATTGTCAAACATATTGAACCAAACCCTTAAGATCTGGACATTTTATTGTACAGTGTAAATTGTATCTAAATATATTGTAAATCATTATGTCTATTTCATTGGCAAGTTTGGTTGGTTTTTGCTTTGTTCAATGTCAACATTTACCAATGATGAAAAATTTTAGAAGTCACTTAAAAAAGGTAAGGGATGTATAATTTTTCAATGTACTTAGGGAGTACCCCAAGAAAATGTTTTCAAGAACTTAAGAAGTATGTGAGGCCAGATCCTTTAGAATAAGCAGGAGAGGGGCCAAAATGATCAGAGTTGGGCTTGTTGAAGTGCTGTTAAGTAGGTTCTGACCCATAGCAATCCTGCATAGGGTTTCTCCAAAGAGCAACTTGTGAGTTTGGACTCCAAACCTTGCAGTTCAAACCAACCTGTGGTCCAGTGCTTATCCTAGAGAGTCATATCAAGAATCCAGAAAGTTAGCAGGATACCTGAAAATGGGCTTTCTATGCACTTTAGGGGACTTATCTAGGGTTTCCAAGACATAAATCTTTATGAGAGCAGACAGACTCATCTTTCTCCCGCAGAGCAGCTGGTGGGTTTGAACTACTAACCTTGTGGTTAGCAAGCAGCCCAGTGCATAAACCACTACGTCTCCCGGGCTCCCATGAACCTCCATAATTTTCTAAATACCGGTTTAACATCATTGTTCTAATGTAGCATACTCTCTGTTGTTGTTGTTGTTGTTAAGTACCTTGGAGTTGGTTTCGACTCATAGTGACCCTGCATAGGGTTTCTGAGGCTGTAAATCTTTATGGGAGCAGGACGCCTCATCTTTCTCCCACGGACCGCTGGTAGTTTCGAACTGCTGACCTCGAGGTTAGCAGCCCGATTCGTAACCACTACGTTACCAGAGCTCCCTCTATCACCTGCCAATTTATTGCACAGAGCTAGAACTTTTCCCCTTACTTTTACCCCGGCCCCTAGCCACCATTTTCAGCAGACTAACTTATTCCCATCCCTTCAGCCTCAGCTCATGTGATACTTCCTGGAATTTGTGACTTCCATGGTATCTCTTATTTCCCATGCTGACACTGATTACCGTGTCACCAATGCATGCGGATATTTCTGTTTTCTTTGAAAGTCCTGGGAGACACCGCACTGTATCTGTCATATTCAGTGCTCGATCCCTGTGTCAGCCCTGGTGTAGTGCTGTAGGATAAGCACTGGACACCAAGATCAGTTTGAACTACAAGGTCAGCAGTTCAAATCCACCAGCCGCTCCTCAGAATCTCTACAGGGCCGCTATGAGTTGGAACCTACTCGACAACACTTAGCAATAACAGTCCCTGTGTCAGCACAATACCGAGCACATAGTAGGTGTTTAAGAAATACCTTTTGAGAAACACTGTGGTAATTCCAAAGCTCTGCTTTCCTTTAGTGTTTAGCGCTGATAAATAATAAAAATGATAAAGTGTTAGGAATGGAAAACAAAACACACAAAACCTTGTTGCAAGGAAAGATGATTGAAGAAATGTGAGGAGTCTTTTGTGAGGGTGAATTGCCTAAAAAGCACAACGTGTATTTGATGAGCAAGATCTAGAAATCATCAACTTCTAGTTCTCTACTTTTGTAAGTAAAATCCTCATTTTAATCCAAAATTGCTTACATCTCACGAGCTCTGATGTCAAAAAGATGAGGTCAGAGCAGTTCTGACGTATAATCATAACATATATCAGGAGAATGTTCTCTGGATCATTTGCTCAGTTATTGGTGTGGACTAGTAATGCATGCTTACTTATCCTTTTGTTCAGACCTTGAGCGAGTCGGAAAGCTTTAACGCAGCTGTTATCAAATTGGCCAAGACTCCCCTTATTGCTGATGTTTATTACATTGTTGGTGGCATATCACCCCGGGAGGGTGTGGTCATCACAAGGAACAGAAATGGCCCAGCGGACATTTGGCCACTAGATCCTTTAAATGGACAGTAAGTAGAATTCTATATCAAATAATATACATTTATGATATATGGTGAAACTAGAGGTAATTTAATTTATATATGTATTTCCCTGGTGTCTGTGTTCTGAATGATCTTGGATAAGACGACGTGTGCTGTCTTTTAGGTGGTTCCGAGTTGAGACGAATTATGACCACTGGAAACCTGTGCCTAAGGAAGATGACCGAAGGTAGACCTCTGCGTACTCTCTGGTCATCAGTGCTTTCTTGTAGTCAGGAGAAGGTGCCCCTCCTAGGACAGGAACTGAAGAGAACCGCAGTACCTCACAGAAATGTGCCTGGGTTCCCTCACCATACCTTAGCTGGGATGGGAGAGAACAGTAGAGTGTGCATGGGAGAGCCTCTTTGGTAACTGTTTGGCGCTAGGAAAGTGAGGCTAGCCCTGGTCTAAGAGTCAGGAAGCTTAGATTCTACCACCAGTCCTGCAAGTGACTCACTGGGTGACCTCTGTGGGTCTCTCTTCACACATCTGCAAAATGGAGAGAGAGATTCATGGTCTTCTATGTAGGCTGTTTGGTAGGAAAGCATTTCCCTTCCTTAAATAAATCAACCCAGGGGCTTTCATTGTCCCTTCTAATTTTGAAAAGTCTCTAACTATTGTTATGCCCAGAATTCGGGGTCCCCAAAGACCACCCAGGAGCCGTGTACCGATGCAAATACATAAGGGAAGTTTATTCAAGCTCGAGCCAGGTCTCTAACCTTATCCGAAACATCGGAATAGGGAAAGAGCCCTGAATTCATTGTCTGCAGGGTTTTTATAGAGTTTTCAAACAGCTCAGGTTT